TGCATGTACGATTTCATGCCCCATGACCGCCGCTAATTCGGCCTCGCTGTTTAACTCATAAAGTAAGCCACGATTAAAGGCAATTTTGCCCCCAGGCATCGCCCATGCGTTAGGAGTAGAGTCGTTAATCACTACAAATTCGTAAGGCAAATCTGGGCGGTCAGACACCGTAGCAAGACGCTTGCCAATACCTTGCACATATTCTGTCAACTCTGCATCTAAAATGTAATCACCACCTTGCGATTGACGCGCAGGAGAGTAATTTTGTTTGCCAATTTCAATTTCTTGGTTTTGTGAAACAAACTGAATTTCTTTTTTCTTAGTCACTGGGTTAGTGCCGCAAGCTGTTGTAATTAACGCCAAAGAGGCAAGCAAAAGAACGGAAAATTTTCTTGAAATAGTCAGTTTGCGCATCATTTAACCCTCAAATATTAGATGTAAAGTTGGTGTTCTTGTATATAGCTTAGCACGTTATCTGGCAATAAATAGCGCATAGAATGTTGCTGTTTAAGCGCCTCACGTATTGCGGTGGATGAAATATCCAAAGCGGTAATGTGCTGCATGGTAATCAAGCCATTCGCATGCTGAGTTAATTCATCACTAAGCTCAGTGTAATGCTCTTGCAAATAGCTTTCAAGCCCCTTAGATAAACGCTCTGTTGGCTGATTGGGTTTACTCGGCCTTGCTACCAAGCAAATATGGGACAGGGTTAAAAGTTCTTGCCAGCGATGCCATGTGTTAAGTTTTGTAAAAGCATCGTTGCCCATAAAAAGTGTGATGCTGGCCTGCATGCCTAGCTCTTCACGCAGGCTGACTAAGGTGTCAAAAGTGTAAGAAGCCCCAGTGCGTAAAAGCTCACGCTTATCTAATTTAAACAGAGGGTTGTTGGCAATGGCTATTTGCACCATGACGGCACGATGCTCGGCAGAAACTTGCGGGGCTGGTTTGTGTGGCGGGTTGGCAGAAGGGATAAAGCGGACTTCTTCTAAGCTAAGTGCTTCAGCCAGCTCTTGCGCCATGCGCAAATGCCCAAAATGGATGGGGTTAAACGTGCCGCCTAAAATGCCAACAGCGCGCATTTAAGCCCGTACATGGCCATCGCCTAAAACTACATATTTCAGCGAAGTTAAGCCTTCTAGCCCCACTGGGCCGCGTGCGTGGAGTTTGTCAGTAGAAATGCCAATTTCAGCGCCCAAGCCATATTCAAAGCCATCGGCAAAGCGGGTAGAGGCATTCACCATGACGCTGCTTGAATCCACTTCGCGTAAGAATCGACGCGCTTTGGTGTAGTTTTCGGTCACAATCGCTTCGGTATGTTGGCTAGAGTGCTGGTTAATGTGCGCAATCGCTTCGTCTAAGCCAGTCACCACTTTACATGAAATAATCGCCGCCAAATATTCAGTGTAATAATCTTCTTCCGTGGCCGGTTTAGCTTGTTTCACAAGCGCGCAGGTTTCTGCACACCCGCGAATTTCAATACCGTGCTTGGTAAGCATATCCGCCAGTTTTGGCAACATTTCTTTCGCTACCGAGCGTGCAATGAGTAACGATTCCGCAGTATTGCAAGTGCCTAAGCGCTGCGTTTTGCTGTTCTCAAGCACCCGCAAGGCTTTGTCAAAATCCGCGTCATCATCCACATACACATGGCAGTTACCATCTAAATGCTTAATCACGGGGATTCGCGCATCGTTGCTAATGCGCTCAATCAAGCCTTTGCCGCCGCGTGGCACAATCACATCCACGTATTGCTTCATGGTAATCAGCTCGCCCACCGCCGCGCGGTCTGTCGTTTCAACCACTTGCACGGCAGATTTTGGCAGGCCAGCCGCCGCCAAGCCTTCATGTACCAATTTAGCCAAAGCTTGATTACAGTGTATAGCTTCGCTACCACCGCGCAAAATCGCCGCGTTGCCAGATTTAATGCACAGCCCAGCCGCATCCACCGTCACGTTTGGGCGCGCTTCATAAATAATACCAATCACGCCCAGTGGCACGCGCATTTGGCCAATTTGTATGCCAGATGGGCGGTATTTAAAATTGCTCATTTCACCAATGGGGTCAGGCAGGGTGGCAATTTGCTGCAAACCTTCTGCCATGCTGGCAATGGTTTTTTCGCTAATCGCCAAACGGTCTAGCATTGCAGGCTCTAAACCGTTCGCACGCGCTGCGTCTAAATCAAGCTTATTGGCCGCCAGTAACACATCTTTTTCACGCAAAATCGCCTTGGCAATTGCGTTCAAGGCATTGTTTTTTTGAATGGTATCGGCACTCGCCATCGCGCGTGAAGCCTTGCGCGCTTGCAAGCCAATGTTTTGCATATAGGTTTGAATGTTCATCGTATTTTTATCCATGCTTGATTATACTTTTTTGGGGGATTTTTAACAGCAAATTTAGCGGCAGTTTTTTGCAAGAAATTATCGTTAAAAACTCTCAAAATATCCCCGAGTGATTTTTATGCCTCTGTAAGCCGCATGGATATTGGCTTGCAGAGGGGGAGAAATGATTTGGTGTGAATTTTGTGATGAAAAATGGGTTTTGTAGGGAAGAAAGGTCAATACTTTAGTCTAAAGCCCAAAGAATTATTTTGTAAGAAGAAAACTCACCTAATGGGTAACAAGCGAGCAAGATAAAAATCAATCTAATTGCTAAATCGAGATATTTTTGTTTTAAGAACTTTCCAATGTATAACAGGTAAATAGCATAAACTAGCCATAAAATCCCAAATCCCATTGCCAGAAAGTAAGCCAGTACAGCAAAAGGAGTGAATTTTAAAAAGCCCAAATTAGTTTCCGCTGGGTTTACAGTGCCTCT